GTGGCCGCCAGCTCGGCGCGCAGCGCCTTCACCTCCTGGCCCGCCGCCTGCAGCGCCCCGTCGATGCGCAGCGCCAGCTGCTTGTTGTCGTCCATCATGTGCAGGATTTTGGCCTGGGGGGAGGGAGGAAGAGGAGGAGAGAGAGAGAGAGAGAGGTGAGAGAGGGAGCGGCGGGGGGGCGGGCAGGGGGCTGTGCTGGGCAGGGGGGGCAGGGGCTGCCTGAAGGGGAGCAGCGAGAGGGGAGTGGGCGGCGCGAGGGGGCGGCGCGAGGGGAGGGGGCTGGGAGGGGGGGACAAAGGGGAGGGGGGCTCCGAGAGCGAGATCTGTGCGAGGGGAGCGCCAAGGGGAGAGGGGTTCTGCGAGGGGGCGTGCGAAGGAAAGCAGGGGGGTCTGTGCAGGGGGGGTACAATGGTTGTGCGGGGCGGGGTGGGGGTACCCCCTACCTGTTGCCCCCCCCCGGCAGCCCGGGCAGGGCCGCGACGGAGGCGATCGCGGCTCGGCCGAGGGCATCCGCGGTGTTTGCGCGGTGGGTCCGCGGTGGGTCCGCTGTGGGTCCGCGGTGGGGCGGGTCCCGGCCCCTCCCGTGCCGGGGACCCTGCGGTGGCCGCGCCGCGCTGAGGGCGAGAGCCCCCCCGGGAAGTTGAGGGGTGCAGCGGGGGATGCTGCAGTGCCCGCGCTGAGCTCGAAACGTCGCTAATGAAGAACCGAACCGTTCTGCCAACTGCGCTCAGGCTCACCCTGAGCGTGGCCGTGCCCAGCAGCTGCCTGCAGCAGGTGGAGGAAAATGGGCTGCAAAAATCCCCCTGGAAGGATTTTGGGGCGGGGGGAAAGAGCCACCTGAGCGCTGTCGCCACTGCAGCAGCACTAGTGCGAGAGCTCTTACGCTGGCGGTTCCCGTGGCATGAACCCAGGGTGAAAAATCGAGAATTATGGGTATCATCCTTTCGCTGGTGGCTGCTAGAGGGAGCGCGGATGTTTCCCTGTGCCTTATCCATCCCTCAGAGGGATCCACTTGTGTGTTTGCCAGGGCTGCAGCAAGCCTGCAGAGCTGCCACCCTGTCCGTGGCAGCCGTGCAGATGGCTTCATCCTCACTGAAGTGAAATTGTAGAATCAGAGAATGATTTGTGTTGGAAAGGACCTTAAAGATCGTCTCATTCCAACCCCCTGCCATGGGCAGGGACGCCTTCTGCTGAACCAGGTTGCTCCAAGCCCCATAGATAGGGATGCTGTGGAGATCATGGCTCAGGTGGCTGTACCTTCCCAATCCATCCCTGTGTCCCAAATCTACCTGCAGCTGTGCTGTGAGTTGTCACCTGAGCCACCTGAACCCAGAAAAGTTCACAAGTGGGTTTAGGAACTGGGCAGGAGCATGGAGTGGGGTGGGAGCCTCACAGAAACAGGAGTGGGTGTGGGGAGCACAGCGAGGAGCCGGGATGGTGAGCAAGGACTCTTGCTGAGGGGGAAGCAAGAGAAAATCATGAACGGTAAGGAAAGGGGGAGAAACAGCCCTGCACAATTTCCCAAACCCTGTGGTACTTGCCTAAATTCAGGCTTTTGTCTGAGCAAGCTGAGAATTTGGGGCAGTTCTTTGAACTTCAGGGTGTCCTTGTGCAGCGCCACTGGCACTGCAGAGCCCTGATTCAAAATGCAGTAAAAAAGAGAGAAAACGGCTTCTTGAGAGCTGCAGGGATGGCTCCAGGAGAGGCTTGACATGAGGTAAAGCACATCACCATCCCACACATCTGCAGGAGCAGAGGGTTTGGTGTGCAGAGTCCCCAGGCAGATTTTGGGGATGGAAATGGGGTAAATCTGCTGTGTCAGTCTGCTGAAAAACATCAACAAGAGCAGCCTGGATCCCCCAAAACCTCAGCTCTAATCTGGATCCTGGGCACAACCAGCTCTCCAAGAGTCAAAAGGACTGAGTCCTTGTCAAGTGGCATCTAGTCCTTACATCCATCTGGATCAATCCATCTGGATATTGTAAAACAGAGAAAATTTAGCATTTATTCAATGAAACAGTACAGTGGTTTTTGCAAGGGACAATTTTTTTCTGAGAGTTTCCAGCAGTGTCTGCAACCCAAGCTGGCTGCTGGGCCAGGGCACTTGGAATATCAGTGGAAAGGTCTCTTTTCCTTAATGAATTCCCAGAGGGTCAGCAAACAACCTGCAAGGAGAATAAGTGCAATTTTTGAAATTCTCTCTCCATCATCTTTGCAGCCATCCCTGAATGAGATAAAGTTCTCTAAGTATATAAAGAAACTGAATTCTAATCAAGATAAATGCCCAGTTTCATACCTAATTTGCATGAGTATGTGCTGCAAAGTGTGTTTGCAAATGGGAGAATTCTGTATGTAACCAGATAACCTGAGTGTGCAATCCCAGGACTGTATATGCAAAACTTACTCATTGCACTTGAATAAAAGTAAAGCTTCAGCAAAAAGGAACTTGGCTTTAAAGTACCAGCACGTCTTTTTTTTATCATAAAAAATTCAGGTTAAAGCTGATTTGAACCTTCCAAGAACACATTTAGCGGCTAAGGCAAATTCCAAATGATGTTTCTTACTCAATCTAACTTTAATAATAGGCTGGTTGAGTCGCTGCACTGTCAGAGCTGGGATTTTTTTAATTTACTGGAGAAGAGAATTTCTACGTTAGCACGTGGTTATTTAAAAAATGTGTCCTAAAGTTGGCAGTGGCCTCATGGGTAAGCTAAAAACCTCACTCTAAAAACTTACCTCACTACTTTCAAGTCTTCCTGAAATCCCCTGAAGATATCTTGGAAGATTTTCTCCTCTTTCCCATGCCTCCTCCCATCCTTACTGGGGAACAGCTGGCTCCATTAAAATTGATTTAGATCTCTCAGTGCAGAATTTGATTTCTCTGAGCTTCAGCCTGGAAGGAGCACAGAGTGTCCCAGCAATACCAGGCAGAGGAAAAGTCACAAGGATGGGGCATTCCTCACCCACCTGGGTTGAGCCAGCTCCCAGTCAGAAGGTCAAACCTTTGCTGGAAACCTCAAAATTGGGATGAAATGAAACTTGAGGAAATGAATTGTGCCTCAATCCCTTTGTCCTATTAGTTTTAAATTAAGAAAAAAAAATTGAAATGAAAAGCTAATTAAAGACCCAAAATTAGAAACATATTATTTCCCAAAATTGCTTTGATGATTGTTTTTTTTTAATTTTTTTTTTTTTTTTTTTTTTATTCCAGCTTTAACCAGGAGGTTGACAGCTCAGCAAGGTGTCTGTGTCCCGAAGGGATGGGAGTCCCTGGCCATGCAGATGAGACATAAAGAGATCGGGAATATTTCCTAAAGGAAACCTGAGTCAATGCCAGTAAGTCACAAATCTTCATTCAACCCTGCTACACTCAGCATCTGTTCAGGTGCTGCAAGGGGAGCCTTGAAAATCTGGAAAACACCCTCAGTTTTGGGCAACGTGTTCTAATAGTGCCATCACATCCAGGCAGGGGATTCCTCAAGAGCGTGTAAATGGAATAAACAGGGATGGAGGAAGATTTGGGAGTTCTACCCTTCATCTTTGCTCTTGTTACAACCCAAGGAGTGCAGTAAAGGGAATATGAGAAGATTTAGAAGATGAAAAAGGGCTGAGAAGCACATGAGTACCATTCAGGCCTTCCAAACCCTTTAATTTGCTATTCAGATTACTGCTTTTTATAGTTTAATATGTACAATATGCAAAGGAACCAGTTTAACTAAATGGGGAAAGCCTTCTGTGTTAAGGTTGAACGTAATCTAATAGGGCCCTTTGACTTGATTCAATTAAATCTTTCTTTTTCCAATTAAATAATCATCCAGAATTTAATAAAAATGAATTTCCATGTGTCATCCTGCAGAATGATGACCTCTGTGATGGGGAAGGCTTATGTAAATTCTGCTGATCGCTTTTTATCTGCCTCTGCCTCACTTCCTCCAAAAAAATTGCCTTCTGTCTGTATATTTACATTAATTTCTCATCTGCTCCATGTATCTCTGTTTGCAGGAACAATACCCAGCTGAAAGAACTGTGAGTATCACCAGCTTCTTTCAGTACATCCTCGAAAATGGACCTTCTGTGGTGGAAAAAAGATCTCCAAAGTGGGGTTTTTGATCTGTGCCTCAGGTTTGTTGTGCCCTGGTATGCTGTAGGGCCAGCTTCCAATTGGCCCCTTCCAAATATCACCAGGGGCATCTGTATGGCCATTTGTCATCAAGAAAATCCAGTCCAAGGGACCAGCAACCCCAGCAGCAATCCCCAGGAAAAGCACAGCGTGTGGCCCACGTTCCACAGTCTCTTCCAGCACATCTCCACTAAGTAATTCCCATCAAAGCTACAGCAGTTGTTAATATCTACAATTTATTTTTTTTTCCCTCTGTAAAGGTGTATTTATAACTGCATTTCACCCCCCTCTCACTCCTAAAATGCAGAGCACCAACTCTTTCCTTTCTCAGTTGGGATGTACAGCAGCAAACCTTGCTGATGTGGTACTGCTGTAATCGCTTAGGAACTCATAAGTTACTAACTCTTGAGTTACTAAAACTGAATTAAGCAGAGCTAAGGATGGACAGGTGAAAAATTGGAGTGAATATTCTGTTTCTCCCCGTGATGCTGCCTTGCCACATTTCCCCATCTCTCTTTCTGCGCGGGTAAAATGGTCCTGGCGACCTTCCTGTGCTGCACGTCCCTCGGGACCACGAAAACAAACCCATTAATGTTTATAAAGTGTCTCAGACTGGGGGAATTACATCACTGCAGCAAGATACAAGCTTAATGGATCAAAACAAACCCCAGCTCCAAACCCCCCAGCTTAGACACATCTCAGTTACCCGGCTCAAGCCTCGAGGAATCCCACTGAGAAGGGATAATTGAGAGAAAAATGTGATCCTGGAGATTTTTTCTGCAGTAAACCCATTTTACATTAATAGGAAGCAGATTTCTAGACCCCTTTGCAAACGAATGACTTCCACTGCATA